AAAGAGAAGCCCACTTAACTCCCTGGTGCCCAGAGGCAACTGAGTGTGTTAGCCTCTTAAGTTTCTAGGTCACCCCACAGGAGAGGACTCCTCAGCAGGTCAGTCTAGGTAGGTAAGGGACATGGAATCATGTATCCATTCATGGTGGAGGTGTCCCAGAAAGGTGTGGGAGAGGGAAAGGACAGAATCTCTGGCTACAAAAGGAAGGGACCCTGGGAAGGAATGAGCCAACTGAGGACCCACTGCAGCCATTATTAAGTCCTTTTCACAATTGACACCCACTAACACCTGATCTATCTTGAGAGGAAACTACTACCCTGTTGATTCTGTGGCCTAACCAATTAAAGCACTTCTATAATAAGTGTGTACTCTGGGTTTGAGCCCGAGGTCCCTCAATTGTTGGAAATAGTATCCTCCAGCACATTTCTAGAGATACCTCCTTCTTCCGGAGCCAATCCTCTGTGCCCTCTGTGTTTTCGTTCCGCTACAATTTTTGTGTGTATTTGGAGGCTTCGCAGAACCAGTGTGAGTCAGGGCATTCTATTGTCCGCCCTCAAGGTTTTTGGGCACCGGACTCGGCTTTCGACTTGTCTTGTTGGGGCTGTCCAGTTGTGGCGTAGAGAGGGGAGAGAGAACGGAAGGCTGCAGCTCCAGCAAGTCCGCGGGTGACGGCTCTAAGGAAGGCTGAGCCAGCGTCGCCGAGCGGAGGCGCACGCGCACACAAGTCTCAAATCGGTGGGGGCGTGGGCGGCGGGAGGCGGGCATGTTGATAGGCAGCTATACTTGCGCAGGCCCGAGGCCGCACGCGGCTGTGATGGCCGAGTGGTTAAGGCGTTGGACTCGAAATCCAATGGGGTCTCCCCGCGCAGGTTCGAATCCTGCTCACAGCGTCAGTAGTTTTGGTTAAAGGGCATTTCTAATTCTTCCTCGTTGAGAGGAAGCAGATCGTTTTCTTCTCCCTTTTCTCCCTTGGAGGCAGCTCTCCCTACGTATCCAGTTCTCAGAGACGGAACCACCCAGAACAAGCCCGCGAGCGCCCTCTTGCGAGCCTCGGTTTCCTGTCGATCAGCAAAAGCCTCTTCACTCCCAATTTCAATTTATAACTCCCCCAAACTCTGATGATTCCTATTACTTCTCAGCAGTCTTTTATATTTCCCTAATCCATTCAGCCGCCTCCTCCACTCCTATGTTGTTGTTTTCATTCTTTCACTACAAACCACGGATTCTGGTTTCCCATTGACATGAACAGTCGTACCTACTACCTACCTGAGTTCTGTGATCACATCGCCTTGCTTTCTCTCCCTACTGTACGTTAAACGCTTCCACGGAAATAAGGCCCACCCTACACTTGCTGGATTCCCTGTCCGCCCTGGCGCACTCAGGACATCGCTCTTCTTTCCTATACCGTCTAATGTTCCCTCTCTACTGGATTATTCTCATTCTCCAAACACTAATTTCTCCCAGTTTAAAAGCTATGTTGACCCCATACCACTTATCATTTCTACTTGGATATCTAATAGGTATTACAAAGCTAAAAACATGCAGGCCAAGAGGTTGCAGGTGACATAATGGCTAGGATGCTGGACTCCCACTTGGCTGACTGCAGTTTGAGTTCTGGACCTGGTGGCTTGCTTTCTCACTTTCTTTCTCTGTCTCTCTCTGGTCAAATTTAAATAAAGAAATAAATATTTTAAATGGAGTAAAATTAAGTGAATAATGGTGATAGGCAGCTATACTTGCGCAGGCCCGAGGCCGCACGCGGCTGTGATGGCCGAGTGGTTAAGGCGTTGGACTCGAAATCCAATGGGGTCTCCCCGCGCAGGTTCGAATCCTGCTCACAGCGTCAGTAGTTTTGGTTAAAGGGCATTTCTAATTCTTCCTCGTTGAGAGGAAGCAGATCGTTTTCTTCTCCCTTTTCTCCCTTGGAGGCAGCTCTCCCTACGTATCCAGTTCTCAGAGACGGAACCACCCAGAACAAGCCCGCGAGCGCCCTCTTGCGAGCCTCGGTTTCCTGTCGATCAGCAAAAGCCTCTTCACTCCCAATTTCAATTTATAACTCCCCCAAACTCTGATGATTCCTATTACTTCTCAGCAGTCTTTTATATTTCCCTAATCCATTCAGCCGCCTCCTCCACTCCTATGTTGTTGTTTTCATTCTTTCACTACAAACCACGGATTCTGGTTTCCCATTGACATGAACAGTCGTACCTACTACCTACCTGAGTTCTGTGATCACATCGCCTTGCTTTCTCTCCCTACTGTACGTTAAACGCTTCCACGGAAATAAGGCCCACCCTACACTTGCTGGATTCCCTGTCCGCCCTGGCGCACTCAGGACATCGCTCTTCTTTCCTATACCGTCTAATGTTCCCTCTCTACTGGATTATTCTCATTCTCCAAACACTAATTTCTCCCAGTTTAAAAGCTATGTTGACCCCATACCACTTATCATTTCTACTTGGATATCTAATAGGTATTACAAAGCTAAAAACATGCAGGCCAAGAGGTTGCAGGTGACATAATGGCTAGGATGCTGGACTCCCACTTGGCTGACTGCAGTTTGAGTTCTGGACCTGGTGGCTTGCTTTCTCACTTTCTTTCTCTGTCTCTCTCTGGTCAAATTTAAATAAAGAAATAAATATTTTAAATGGAGTAAAATTAAGTGAATAATTCTTTTTAAAATATTTATTTTATTTATTATCATTATTTTTTAATTTGACCGCAGAAACAGAGAGAGGGAAAGTGAGAAACCAAGTCACCAGGTCCAGGACTTGAATCGTGGTTGCCCATGTGGGAGTCCAGTACCTCCAGTACCTTAACCACCACACCACCTGCCCGCCTAATTCTTTTTTTTTTGGAGAGGTTTTCGCTATAGGGCACGTGCACTTCCCAGAAAGACAGAAAGAGACAGAGAGACAGCGAGAAATCCCCCCCCCCCAGGGAGGATGGCCATGCCGCAATCCTTTGTCCTCCATTCTCCTCTTGGGGTCTTGGGCACACATGCACACGCACCCGGTGTGAGTTTAAGCCACCGGGTCTGGTACTTGAACCGCGGTCGACTACGTGGGAGTCCAGCGACACAGCCATTACGCTAACTGCTGGTCCCTGCCGGAAAATTCTTTAAATAATAATAATTTTAAAAAAATGTGCAGACCAAACTCCTGGTCTTCTCCCCAAATCCTGGTTCACCTATAATCTTCCATCTCAGTAAATGAAAATTCCACTCCTTCAGTTGGGTTAGACTGAAGAAATCATCTGTGATGCTTTTCTTTCCTTAACACTTCACATGGAATAGTTAGCAATTTTGATTTAAACTATTTCCAAAATTTGAGCATTTATCACTACCTTCAGCATTACACTCTGTTCTGATCCACCCTCATCTAGACTGTTGGAATATCCCCTAAGTTATTTCTGGTTTCCATTTTTGGAGAGATTCTTTTGCTATAGGGCGCGTGCGCTCACCAGGCAGACAGAGAGAGACAGACAGAAAGCAAGAAATCACCCCCCAGGGAGGATGGTCACGCCACAATCCCTTCTTCTCCTCCTCTCCGGGTCTTGGGCACGCACGCACACGTGCCCGGCATGAGTTTTCGACCACGTGGGAGTCCAGCGACATAGCCATTAACTGCTGGTTCCCTGGTTTCCATTTTTGTTGCTAGTTCCCCGAGACTGTATTCTTACCAGGCAGAGTCTTTGAAAACATAAATTAAATTCTGTCATTACCCTCTTAAAAATCTTCCAGTGGTGGGAGGCCAGTCTTGATGAGGTAGCTGGATCCCACATAACTGACTTCGATGACCCGGTGGTTTGAAACACACCCGGTGCATGTGCATACATGCCCCTAATACCCGAAAGAGTAGCCATTCCCCTGGGGGTTGCTTTTCCACTTTCCTTCTCTCTCTCTCTCTGGTGAGCACATGCATCTTCTACAATAGCAAATTAAATTTTAAAATCTTCTGGTGGAGATACATATGTGTGTTTTTGTTTTGGTTTGGTTTGGATATAGGTCACATCTATTCAATGTAAAGAGAGACACAGAGAGAGGGAAAGTGAGAAACCATCACCTCCTGCCC